GGATTCTAGTCTAGGTGGTTCATGGATAATAAATTGCTAAAATTTCCTCCTCAGGAATCTTTTCCTCTCCTCTTGCCACTCTTGCTAAGTTCTCTAGTCTCCTTCGACGCAAAGCATCCGCTTGTAATGCTTTTGCGCGAGAAAAGTTTCTCAAGAACAAAGTATACTTGTTTTGGTCCTTGGCCAATTCATCCAAATCATAGGAGAGAAATTGTAGTGCTGACTCATAATTCGAAGAATCGGTAACTCTCAATCGATTCACAAACGCCATGGTTTCATATTCTTCTTGCTCTTCCATCATAAAAGAATCTTCCTTGAAAAAGTTAGTCGGTAAACGAGGAGTTCTATAAGGTTGGCGAGCTAAATATTCCAACAAAACTCTAGCTAAAGAGGAATTGTGCAGTGTCACTGGAAGTTCTTCAATCATACTACGACTATCTATTTCATGACGCTGCAGACTTAGTGAGCTCAAATCACCTCTACCAAAAAGTTCAAGAAAGGACTCTCTCAACCGATATGCTCGTAAACCCAACGTGCCATCGGTTGTCTTCTGAGGATCATAAACCAAACAGATAGCGTTGATGAGATTATCCTGATAGGCAAACTGCGTTTCCAACCAAGGGCCGGTCAAAAAAGAACCCAATTGATTGGCTGTACTTTGATACCAACCCACAACTTGATGGTCAATGTTGACTTCTCTTACACACCGCATCATATCCATCTGATATTTTGACTGACTGCTTTCTCTCTCGGAACTATCATCGTCCTCTTGTGGGAATGCATAACAACTTGTGATTTCCAGCACTTGATCATTGTCCATACCCAATAACTGCCCAGTTACTGGAGTGGGATAGTTTTCCGTACAGTGACGAACTATTTTCAAAACAACCTGTAATTGACGCGTTAGGAAAAATGCCTTGTCAATCAACTCAAACAGCTTACTAGTCCTTCCAACTGTACTCTATTTATGCGTGGAGTTTGGGATAAAGCTGCTCGTCTTGCTTTAGCTAATATACTGTTCATTTTTATCTTTATATATGTATATGTGGAGCTATGGAAAACGGATTCTCTTCAATCGGCCAAGTCCAAATAATGGGCTTAGAAGTATCGCCATTTTATGAAAAGCTCATTTGCGCTGCTTTGGTTCACAGTTCTTCCATTTATTAATAACCCCCACAATATCTATGTTTATTTCATATCTAAAGATATACCACTGGAAAAACCTTGAAGGAAAAACTAATAAGGAAATGACAAGAACTACTAGCAAAACATGACTATATAACCCAGTCTCAAGTCTAATATAAACAGCCACAATTTTGCAATCACAAGTCTGGAATGTGATCAAAAATTTGTTCAGCAGGCAGAAAACGATATGCCAGTGTCAGTAATACAACTGCAGCGATCAACAAAAGAATCCAATTTTGACGATAAGGTGAGACAACTTCCGTTTTCAGCTTGTCCTTCATGTCTTTTGAAATTTCTGTTTGCGAACTGGATACTGGCGCCCTTTTCTCTTGGGCAACCACATCTTTCGGATCTATCCAATAGTCTGCTCCAGAAGACGGATTAGGTTTTCTTGCAATAGGAACAGTAACTACTTCACTCTCTGGTAGCTGTTCTTGTTTCTTACTCTTTCTTTTTCTTCTTGTCGTCGATTTCTTTTTGGTATTGCTTTTCTTCTCTTCCCCACCTGAGCCCTGGGTTGAAAGAGACTGATTATCTGCGTTCTCCTCAGATCCCGACAAAGGTGTATTTGAGATATTTTGAGACTCTGTGTGCTTTGCATTCTCTTCCTTCATGCAAAGAGATAATAACAGACGACCGGTCGTTCCATAGCATACAAGCTTCTTTCTCCTTCGAAACGTAAGAAACGTTGAACGACAAGGGCAAGTCCCAACCCCTCCTCGTTTTACGGCAACTCCGTCTCTTTTACTTACATTAAAGCTAGCAACGACAAAACTTAAGCAGAGAGTTTGCATAGACAAAAGCACCACTACCAACAATTGTGAATGATGATAATCAATGGTAAAATGCAGACACCAGAAACCATTGAAAGCTACTCATTCAAATACATCCAAGTTTGAAGCTTACAAACATCCAGTAAGGAACGTCTATTCCAAAGCTGCCTCCTAAAACTCATGTGCATAAAATAAGACCTCACCTTTAGCTTCATATGTCTGTCAAAAGTAATAACAAACAAAATCGGTATTCTATGCAAAATTTCACTCGGTGACTGTGCTTTGCCGCATATAGGAAAAAACTTTTAAGCCACGTTATCAAATATCACGTTGTTCACGGCAGGGAAGTACCCTTCGACCATAAAATCTCCATCTACCTTCTGAAAGTTGAGTGAATGCAAAACAATAGCTTGTGACATTTCTTGAATTTCAAAAGATGCAAAAGGTGAAGGAGATGAAACTCCACCAACAATTTTAGGTGCAATGAAAGTGACAATCTTATGAATGCAGTCTTGCTCCAACGCTTTGGAAGCCAAAGTACCGCCACATTCCCATAAAACTTGCAATGCTCCCCACTCATACAAACAATCCAAAACTTGACTTGGACTTAACGTTGGAGTATCCAACTCTATGATAGAAACACCTAAAAATATTTCGAAATTATTCTGTGAAATTGATAAGACTTCAATACCTTTACTCCGCAATACTTTCTTTCTTTCCTCCATTTTCGAAAACTTTCTGGTAATCACCATGGTGGGATATTCTTCTTGATCTTCAAAAATTCTAGCATGGATAGGAAGATCCATCGAAGAGCTAACCACCACTCTTAGAGGATGCAATCTGTTCCCCAAACACGACTTTCCAAGCACCGTATTCGTCAAATGAGAATGGTTTGACGTTATATCTTGTTGGTCACCAGGCAGGCGAATAGTGAGCTGAGGATCGTCTTTCCTCACAGTATTTCCACCAATAATTATTGCATCTACTTGCGAACGTAACATATGAACTGCTTGTCTACTTTTCTCATTTGATATCCATCTCGAACTACCATTGCTCGTGGCAATTCTACCATCAATGGACATGGCATACTTGAAGATTGAGAGAGGTTTGCGCCATTTCATTCGAAGACAAAAACCTGCATTTAGTTCACGACAAGCTCGTTCTTCTATTCCATCTATAACTTGAATTCCGTGGGAACGTAGACGTCGAATTCCGTCCCCACTTGTGCGTGGATCTGGATCAACCATACCGACCACAACGCGAGAGATACCTGAACGTAAAATGGCTTCTGTACAAGGTGGAGTCCTTCCTGTATGATTACAAGGCTCTAGATTGACATAAAGGGTTCCGCCTCGAGCGTGTTCCCCTGCCTCTCCTAAGGCGAATACTTCAGCATGAGGCAGCCCTGCCTTCGGGTGATATCCTTCACCGACTACTTTTCCTTCTTTGGAAAGCACTACGCAACCAACAAGTGGATTAGGTCTTGTATTTCCTGCAGCAGTCTTTGCAAGTTCGATGGTTCGTCTCAAATATTTCTCATCGACGTCTTGAACAAGACTGTAGAGTGCTTCCAAACGACAAAGACGGTTGCATTGGCACAAACGCACTTTGCTTCCAACATCTATGCGTGATATGCGACCTAAGTCGAATCTTGAGATAGAACCTTTCCAGGAAACTGGTTCCTGTCTAGGGACGCTGAGTAAATGAAAACAGACTGAACAAGGTACCTTGGCGCCAATTTTACGAGACATTTTTCCTTCACAGACGCATTTCAGCTTCCCTTTGAAGTATCATTTCGGGATATGGCATACTTGTTATCGTAGCATTGAATTGACCTTTTTTCAGCTTTCAACCTGTGTGACGTTTGAGACTAAGCAAACCAGGAAATCAATAGGACTTGGACCAATTGTAGAGGAAAAGACAGCAACTTCAACTATATACTACCTCACTTGAGAATTTCGTTCGGTCCTAGCCCAGTTTGAATTATGTAAATATTGTTTCCTGGAAAGAGTGAAGTCTTATCAGAGTAACAGTATTGACAAGTGTAGAAGCTTTGTTTGCTTTAGTAAATTAGGTTTGTCAAGTCAGTTTTGTTTGTCGACAAAGTGTCCATTTGACGATCTCTGTTGGAGAGTGTTTCAAACTTCGAATGTCTTATATGTGAAGCTGGCTTTAAGTTTCTCTTGGGGCTGATATTGGACAATGCAAAACTTCTTCCTGTTTTTCTAGGCAGCCATAAAGATATGTAATGGATGGAGGAAAAACTGTGCTTTTTATTGCGAAGAAACTTTATGACGTTTGATACCCTTTCATAGCAAACGCCGTGAAAAATCAGCTAACTCTTGGAAAGTTGCACGTCCGTTTCCAGTACGAAGGTTAAAAGCACCCTGCAATCACCCTTTCCAAAAATTCGTCGTCTTGAAAATTTAAAAAAAGCAGTGTAAACTGTTGAGATCAATTTTGATATTTGCAAAGTACAGAGTATTGAGGTTTCGTTGTTTGGGCTTGTACTCCTCTGTCAAGCTCACTGTTGAAGAATTCCATTTGGTTTCTCTTGTAAGGTCGACCTCCAAAAGTACTATTTGTATCGATATATGTGGGCAATTGAACAAGGGAAATTAGTAAGGCTTAGACATCGTGTGCTTTTTTATTATGTAGTTTTTGCCATTTACAGCAGTATTAGATGCTAATATACGGGTATATGTCAATAAATATGGTCTTCAGGGTATGAAATATTAGTCTTCATGTGAAAACCAAAAGTTTCAAGTCCATTTATAAAGCTATCAAAATTTCTTTTCATTTCAGTATTTTAAATCCACAACTTGATAGCATTGCACCTTCTTCGTCTGTGACTCTGAAGAGTAAAGACAAAACTGAAAATAATGTACATATTCACATTTAAAATTCGTCGAAAAGTTTCCAAAGAACCTCAATCACCTGTCGATAAGTAGACATGTCGTCTTAAACTCATATACAATTCCTAATGAAACATGTCCACTATAATAAACAAAATATGGATAGTTATCAAAACCCATTCGAGTAGTCTTCGTTTTCGGCATCTGTAGTTGGAAGTTGACGACCTTGGGGTTCTTTGATGGTCTTGTTATTATAAAAGTCTTCGATAAATGATTGTAACCGAGCAGTGGGACCCGGAGGGGCATTGGAAGGTAGATTGGGCAGTATATGTCCTTGAATAAGACGAAGTAGTTTCTCAAACTGTCTTCCATAGTGCTTATTGAGAGCATAGCCTGCTATTTCTAGAAAAGATATTAATACAAATGCTGTAAAACGTCTGGGTTTCATGTTGACTACTCTTGCTAGCCACGTCCACCCAGAATCTATCCCAAACAAATTGTTCGCTAATGAAGGAATTTCTGTTTGAATAACTGCAGCGTGTAAAGCTAAATATCCAGACATCCTTTCATAGAACCGTTCCAGAGTTTCACCGTCTTTCCAACCCATCGACTGCCAGTATTTTTCAACTGAATCATGTTTTGAACGCATCGCCTATTCAAATGAATGTTTCCATTTCGTCACAAACCATTAATATGTTATCGCCACTTACGTATGCTGGTATTGTAAAGATACACACATTATGAAACTGTGCAAGAAACAATTGCTTCAACTCCGAAAATTCTGCAGTCACGGCTATAATCACAGCTGCTATTGCAAATGCAGAATCTCCATGTAAGGCAACTTGCTTTTCTCCCTCTTCTACCAATCTCTCTATAACGCATAGAAAACAATATGCTTGAGATTCCTTGCTCGACTGACCAGCTTTACGAAGAGTGTCGACAATATCGTACGCCTTGTTTAGTATTTGTTTCTGTGAGGCTGCAATCTGGTTGGCTGCCAAATTGATTCTCTTCTTTAAATGCAATCTATATGAAGCTGTCGAAGCGTCTTTCAAAAAGCTAGATGCTGTCTGACGTAAATCTTCAAGAGACTGATAACAGGTGGATGCTTCTAACAATGCAGACGAACTGGTGATAATGTTCCTACCTCCTACAATTCCTACTTGTTCCTTGTACGGACTAGACTGAGCTACATTCGCCAATACAACAGAGTTGCTTTTCCCGTTGTGGGAGTCAGACAATTTCCGGATCGACTCTGCATTCGAGACGACCGACTCCTTCGAAGCAGATAACTGCACATTAGTCTCTACCGAAGAATGTTCTGTGTTCTTCTTAAGAGCCGAATCTTTAGTGTCTCCAGTGTGCAACGACAAGGAAGAAATTTGAACTGGTTGTGAACTCTGTGAACTGTTGTTTCTTGGCTCCACTTTCGTATTAACCCGTTCCTCATCACGCTTCTGCTGCTCTGCCTTCCAGTTGAAAATTTGCTTTTCAATATTACCCCACTGACGTCTTTCTTCGGCAGCTTGCAATCGATTTCTTTCTTCTATAGCATCCACTAACCTTTTCCAACCTCCAGGCAGCTTTTCTTCCTCCAATTCTGAGCTTTTCAACGTTTGATTCAATACTGTAGCAAATTCTTCTTGTATCTGCATTCTATTCAACTTGAGTTGCTGTTCCAATTTGCTTAATACTGGACTTGACTGCCAAATGTTCTTGTCTCCTTCTTCCTCGAAAGTAACTTCTTCATTTCCGTTTTCTGATGAAATTCCAAAAGAATCACAAAGATTCACACAAAGTTTTCTTCTAGGCAAAGCTGTTGTGTCACTTTCTGTTTCACTATCACTATCGTCACTTGGCGGCGACAGTTTCAGTTTTCTCGATAGAAGTTTCCCTGGCTTTGAAAGCGACGATTTGCTAACTACAGGGAAAGATGTTGTTTTCCTATACAGCACTCGTGGCGGAGTTTCTGAATGAGACACCGTTAAGGGAGATTTAAAGGTAAGGACTTCCAGAGTTTCGGTTCTACCTGCAACGGGTGTCTTGAGTCTTTCCACAATTTGGTCCACTACACTAGTTGGATGGTCGTACATTTGAATGGTCAGACTTTTCTTCCAGGATAAAATTTCGTTCCTATGCAACGTGTTTGACAGTTCTCCACATCGAGACAAGCAGAAGAGACTTGGCGCCAAACAGTAAAATGCTTAAGCCACTCAACAATTGGATTGAGCATTGTGCTCATATTATTTCACTTGAGCTAGTCAAAGTACAATAATGAAGATTCAGTTTACACATTTTCTTTGTTCGAATTGTTTCATTTCACTGCGTATGCTGTATTTGTCTGACTGGGGTTGCTATCCTATCTCAATGTTTGTATTTTTTGACTGCTATCTCTCATGTTTGTCTCTTCTGAAAAATGGTTATTTGTTGTTGGCCTTTGCGTTGGGCTTGACCATGGCATTGCTCGTATGAGTTTTGAGTTTCTTGAACTACAACATGTTGCTTAGCTTTTTCCTTATCAACTCAAATGGGTACGTGTTACAATTGTTGTAGTTTTTGTTTTTACGTTTGCGGACCAGAGAGGTGATTATTGAAAAATCCTGGAAGACAGAACACACTCGTAGAGTTTGTGACTTATTTTGGCAGGAGATTTTAAAGGTTTCTTCTCCTGAAGAACTTGCTCCACTCTTGCACTTTCCCAAGTTTACTATCGTTCATATATATAGTTGTGGCGTATTTCTGGTGGCGACAGTAAGGAAAACGTTGCAGAGTACTTTTGCCTTAGAGTTGTTGCACCACTTGGTTGACACATTTGTTGATTACTTCGGAGAATTCAACGAACACGCTATTAAAGAAAACTTTGTAACTGTTTACGAAATCATAGAGGAGGTTTTGGACCACGGTTTCCCTTTCACAGTGGATATTGCTAGTCTGAAAGAGTTGGTCCCTCCTCCTAGTTTGTTGAGTCGAGTGCTTGGGTCAGTTACTGGTAGTTCGCTTTCCCTAAAAGACATATCCGACTGGAACAGTCGCAAGAAAGTATCTTGGAGGAACCCGAATATTCGTTATGCTCATAACGAAATATTTGTAGATATTGTCGAGGAAGTTTCTGTGGTCCTCAATAGCAAGGGACAATGTATTCATAGTGGAATATCGGGCAGTATTGTCGTAAACTGTAGATTATCAGGAATGCCTGAACTTGCATTGCATTTGAATGAGTCTTCTATAGCAAAGCATTCGTTTGTGCATCCTTGTGTACGCTACGGAAGATTTATTCGGGAAGGAATTATTTCATTTGTACCACCAGACGGTGTTTTTCAACTTTTAAAGTATCAAACGTGGAAGGCTCCTTATATTCCCGTTACATTGGAACCGCAGTACTCTGTTGATAAAGAAAGAAAACATGGACGTCTGCAACTGACTTTAGATATAAGAGGTTGTGGAGGGAAACCTTGCGAGGAAATGATGATTTCTATTCCATTTCATCACGCAACGAATATCACCAATCTCAATGTTACTGTAGGCACTGTGCGGTACGACTCCCAAATTCAGGTATGTCCTATCTAACTTTCATTGCATCTGATAACAAGGAACAAACTCATAGCTCTGCAAATGGAGTTTAACCAACATTGATTCTACTAGAACGTTGGCACTTACTGCGGAACTGTCTCAAGATAAATGCTTATTGCCAATCTCATTACCTTCTATTTTAGCTGATTTTCGGTACTGATAGATGATCTCTGAATTATTGCCTTGCTAATCATGAGAATTCAGTATTGTAGGATTTGCTCTATCTGGTTTAAGTGTCCAACAGTTGACTGTTCTAAACGAGTCCTATAAGCCGTACAAGGGATTACGCCGCATTACAAAATCAGGAATTTATGAAATTCGACCATATTAGTCGCTGAAGATGAATTTCGATAATTGGGACGAGCGAATCGTATGAAGAACAGACACAAGTCCTGTCCAATAGACAAGAGGTTTTCCTGGCGGTAGCAGTGGAATGAACGGCTTGGGACAGCGTTGTTTCTCATTGCTGGGACAATTGCTTGTTTTGGCTTAGTGAATCTCCTCCAAGCGTGATTACTTTGTTAAAGAATATTTTAAACAAGACGGACAGTAAAAAGTTAGTATCAGCCTTTGAGCAGTCCTTGATTATTAGTCGAGAGAAGAGGCTTTTCTTTGCCACAGCGTCTCTGTTAGCTGGACCCTGTTCTAGTCACAAAAAACAGAAGTTTGTCAAGTATTCTCTTTCGCAGCACACGCACAGACTTCGTTCCTGTGTCATTAGTTAGCAATGAGAGTCACTCCAGTAGCACTAGAGCAAATCAGGTCAGCAAAGGTTCCTATGGACTTGAGTCAGCACTTGAAATGTTTGTTGCACTCCGGTCATTGGCAGTTGGAGCCAGGTAGTGATGCGTTGTTCGGGAATATCCAGAAAAATGACTTGCAAGGTGAAAAAGGGAATATTACATTTTACCTCTGTTCTCCGAAAGTGATGAGCAAGGAAAAGTGCTTCACAGTCGTGGACTCTGTTCGTATAAGCCTTCAGGAAAAGTTGAGACTCGATAACCACGAGCTTCAACCAGCGATCAGTGTATCAGATGTTCATTGCTGTGGCAAGTACTTATATCGAACAGCCCGTTGTGATGATGCTCCGTTAGGGTGCAATCGACCCTGCTTAATATTGCAGGTTCCAGTTGTGAATGTTATTTCACCCCTTAACCATTTGGATAGAGATAGATTGATTCAGCTACAAGCTTTACTTTTGGAAGTGGAAAATTGTTTGATAGCATCTTTTACTTCCCAGTTATTGGTGGAAGGAGGTGATGATCGTTTGTTTCTAAACAGCAATGGAGTAAATAAATACTTTTGTCCTCCATGTCCAGTTGACCCAGATACTACTCTGCTGCGTTCTTCCTGCACCTGTTCTCCACCTACCAAGGAAGGATTTGAACGTGCCTCTACAGTAGTTGAGCAGTTATGGGAACAACCAGAGCTATATTTTGACATTCATATGGAGAGTGTTCGCAAAAGAATTCTTGAAGCTCTAAAGTTGAACGATGGTCAAACCTTTTGTATATTGCATCCTTCTGGCTCCGATGCAGAATTATTGCCACTTTTGGTTGCAATGGGACGAATGGAAAAACTGGGTGCTCATCATATTGTGAATGTAGTATCTGCAGCTGGAGAAGTTGGTTCAGGAACTGCACCAGCAGCTGCAGGGAAGCATTTCTCATCTGTTTCTCCAACTGGTTATAAAGTGAAAGAAGATACTACTATTAGTTCGTTTCCTTCATCTATTCACGTTGTTCAACTAAGTCCTAGGGGAAAAGACGGGAAGCCCGTAGACTTTGATAACTTGGCAAGAGAACAGATGAGACAAGTAAGAGAAAAATACAAAGACGCTATTGTTATTTTTCATGCAGTCGATGGTTCCAAGACGGGACTGAAACTTCCTTCGCATGAAGTAATCGAAGAGTTACAAGATATTTGGGACAAACATCTCGTTTTAGTTTTAGATGCTTGTCAAGGACGTTCCGACTTGGAAGAATATCAGTGGTTTCTTGACAAGGAAGCTTTAATTCTGTTGACTGGCAGTAAATTTTTCTGCGGTCCTGGTTTCTGTGGTTCCGTTTTATTTTCCTCATCTATAATGCAAGAATTGGAAAGTCTTTCTTCTATTCCAGATGGTATTTCCTTTTATATTACCAAAAATGAGGTTTCAGAAAGTATGCCTTGTCTGCGTTCCAAGTTGCCTAGTCATCCTTGGAATATTGGATTGTTATTGCGATGGGAGTGTGCACTGACGGAAATGGAAGTAAGTTATCTTATGACAGAGAATCAATTGACCCCAACTGTTGTTTAGAGATTCACGGATATTATTGTTGACAGCTCAGTTATTGACCAATGGTCTTATGGAGTTCGGTCCATGATAGAGAACCATTTTCCGTTTATACGTGTTTTGGTTGATGAAGATTGGTTGGAAGATGTTATGGGTGTCAACTCTATCGTGAACTTGATTGTGTATAAGCAAAATGGGGAAGCTATGAACTTGAATGAGCTTCGAGTATTGCACAGGTTGCTCTCGTCTACCATGGATTCCGTTTCTTGTTCGATACAAGAAGAAAGTATTGGCAATTGGATATGTTTGATAGGTCAACCCGTGAATCTTGGAGACAAAAGTGTCATACGTCTAGCATTGGGAGCTTCCCAAATAAGAGCAGTGTATGATGCCAAGTGCACAGTGGAAGACTTGTTGTGTGACGATTGGAAAATACTTAAGAAGTTGCAGTTCTTGACGGAACACTTTCATGAGATTGTTTGACTTCCTGTTGTGATGATTTGTTCTGCGTTGGATTGTTCAATTTGTCATGTCAGTGTTGATGGTTTTGTCAGTAAATGTTTGGTTTTGTAAACTTGAACAACATGATTGTCTTCTGAATCATAGTCCTAAAGCACCGCAGAACTTTGATATACAACAGCTTAACAACTCGTTTCGTTTTGAACCTCACAGTAAGGTTTATCGGGAAAGTGACCTTAGAAAACTGTGTAGAAGGTACGTTGGTCAACGTACAGAGTTTGAAGAAACACAAGTAGAGCAGGCTGTATTATTTAAAGAAGACATGGAGAGACTTTTTTGTCTAACTGGGTATAAACCAGTATTCGCTCAACAATTAGCAAACTGCTTCTTTTCCTCTTTGAACCGTGCCTTGTGGACCCATTCCAGTAATCAAAAACGACAATATGGTAATATTCCACAGACTGGTCATATACGGAGTTGTCAATTAGCTCTTTATTTAGCCAAATGCGTAGAGTTACAAGGAGGAGTGGTGACTGACGAAACTTGGGAGGATATTATGGTGGCTCTCCATTGGATTGGCCATCGTCTTCCCATAGTTATTCTCCTTGGAGGGACTTCAGGTTGTGGCAAGTCCACCCTTGCTTATATGTTGGCAAGGAAGTTGGGAGTCAACAAAGTAATATCGACGGATACCATTCGAGCTTGTTTAAGAACACTTTCTACACCAAATGATACCTTTTATGGCGTTTTACATTCTTCAAGTTATGAAATAGACTCTCATCTTCCACCGGAGTTTATTGCGTCCGAAACAACTCCTCGAAAACGTTTACTCAAAGCATATAAACTTCAAGTAGAATTGATGGAACCTCTTATACATAATTTGATTGCGAATAGTCTTTGGCAAAAGGAATCTCTCGTTGTGGAAGGAGTCCATTTATCGGTAAAGATTATGAAACAACTTGTGGAAGAATTTCACGTGGTTATTCCGTTCATCACATATATTAGCAATGAAGCCAAACATGTGAATAGATTTGCAGTTCGCGTGAAGTATATGGTAAGGATCCTTCTATATATACTTATATAGAATATTGTTGTGAGTATTCAGTAGGCATTGAATTCAAGAGGTAACAAATATGTCAAGAATTTTCAACACATTCGTCAAATACAAGAATATTTATGCATGAAAGCAGATAGTGCAGGATTTCCAAAGATAGATAATACAAATACCGATCGAAGTTTGGCTGCTGCTCATGCATTGGTTTTTTCTTGTATAAAGGAATTTTGGCGTCATTATACTCAAGACAAAAGAGAAAGTCATGTCCTTTTACCTGGAATTATTACAAGAGGAACAGAGAAGATGATATGGAAAAGTTCAAGAATGGCTTTATTGGATATTTGTTTGCATCGAATCGAGAAACTTTCTATTGAAAACGGAGAAGCAACCATGAATAGTCCACAAAATGAAACACAAAATTTAGTCCTTCTCAAAGGAAAACTTAAAAGATTGATGAGTGGACAAAAGTATGAAACAAAGCAGCTTGTAGAATATTTGAGACAGATTTGCTCTGAGAGTGAGAAGGATGACCGCAAAGGAGATTAACTTTTTGGAATCATATCGTTCATTTTTATCCAATTACGGACGTTAAGGTAGATAATATTTATTACTTGCAAGTCTATTCATTATCTTGAGATTGCAAAGCTTTATCAAATACCATAAGAGATGTTAAAAAAGATTGAAAGGTTTCCATCGACATTCTTCCTTGTCGATGTTGACAAGCCTTGCATAAAAGAGCATGAACTTGCTCCTCATTATCGTTCTTCTCACTAACTTTTGTACAAGTGGAGACAAACTTTCCATTGCTTCCTACTGGAACTCTACACAAGGAACAATGGGAGAATTGCAAAGGTACTACAATTCTAGAGGAAGTTTTTAGGATATTTGGAATGGTTGAGCGATGCTGTTCTTCCAAATCCTTTAAAAAGGACACGGTTAAACTATCTACCGAAGAAGTTGGTCCTAAAAGTGTTAAATTAGGGGCAATAAAGCCAATCTGTCTCATCCACACGTATCGTATGAGTTGTCTATCGGTTATATCATGCTGGGGATGATGAATAGAGATATCAAAGAATCTTCTGCTCATATCTGCTGGAGATACTTCGAATGGAATGGCAAAACCATTACCCGAAGAAATACTGGTCAAAATATTTCTACAGATAGAGCTAGCATTTAGTCCATCGAACACAATCTTGCAGCCTTGAGATTTAGCAAGGAACGCGACCATTCGATATACGACTATTCTAGAAAGCTCTTCAAGGTCACCAATATCTTTCACATCTTTCCAGGCAAGACATTCACCAACTTGTTTCCACAACTGTTGACAACTGTGACTAGCCTTTGCTGTACAGACACGAAAGGAATACTTTGCTGCCAAAGGTTGAATCACCTCTATACCTGCGTTGGAACTAAGAAAAGGAGATTCGCAATCTATATGAAAGATAGTGACTTGCATCTTCATTCTAGAAGTTTTTCCGTCTTCCCTTTCTGATAAGCTTCTACCCAATAGGTCAATGAGAGCTTGAGAAGAATATCCTCCTGACGCTGCTACTCCTACATTATCACCAAACTGGGCCAATCCTTTGCGTGATATTGTTGTTTTAAAGTTGTGTATAATAGCCTGTTGAAAACAAGAGTCACATTTGGAGCCTCCAACGTCATAAACGGTGGCCCTTTGTTGACACTTTGCACAATGATGGGTCTTTGTTGCCATTCTTATGGGATGGAAAAATAACTGATCTTCATGAATTACCAAATATTGAAATTACTAGTTAAGAAAATGCAATGACATTTCATTTCTTGCTAATAAAAGCAGCTATCAACTGACTAATTCGATTTATCTATATCCTCCTCTTTCTCTATGTATTGACTTTTGTTTCTATAGAATTTGGTATAAGTACGATTTGAACGATTTTTCCTTCAATGGATTGTGAAAGTCACAACAAGCTGGAAGAATTGGAATACTATTTATATTGTATATTTCACAAAGAGTTGGAAAGGTAGACGAGCATTTCTTCTGTTGTTGTTGGCCTATAACAACTTGGGCTTAGAATCAAGGAAGGAGCCTTGCAACAACTGGAGTCAAGAGGTTGGTTTGAGGAACAAAGTCGTCAACGCGGAGATATTTTATGGGACTCTATACTCCAAATGATAGATTCTGGTGCAGGTAAGAGTGAAAGGAGTTTTTTGCTTCAACGAGAGCCTTATTCTGTCTTCAGAACAATTCCCACAAGACATCAAAGATTCGCTATTTTTGGAAGTTCTTGGTCTTTTGAGAATTTTCGCAAAGGAGTTTAGAAAGTGGAAACTTGAAGAACAACTTGGTTAGGTGTTTTTAACTCCTGTTTCTTGTGGTATAGTTATATTAACGGTAAGTTCTGTTTTGTTTACTCTTTTAATATCTTATATTCCAAGCCTCATCATATTTTTGAAAAGGAAGCATCTTTGTCATTCGGATAAAAAGCAACACTTGTTGTCCGAGCCGAGTTAAATACTTGCGGTGGTAAATGTGTTTGCAATCAATATATTCTCTCAAACCATAGAATGTTTCAAATACCTCATACAAGAAACATTCTGCGTTGTCTATATCTTATGTATATTTTCTTTGAAAGAAAATACTTAAACATGGCCATACAACTCTTTCTCAAGGATCCCGGCAGGTCTATCCAAGAGATGATATATTATCAAAGAACTGTACAAATTGTTATATATGCATTTATCCAAGTAAAGATTATGTCATCTGAAGGCAGATTCCATCGATGATGAAAGAATATTTGTCAGGTATACTAATGGTGTCTTGCTTTTACCAAAACTTGACTTTTCCAAAAATAACACTTGTCTACCCGTTTCATCGGTTCCACTTGAGTAGTAATCAGTACCAACTGCCTTGATATGACATACACATTTACACTTACCTATTATGAGACTTGAAACCGTAGAATTGTGCCACTCCTTGAGCAAGAAAAAGTTCAAAAGCACTATCCAGCATAAGACAACCTCCCATAGGATACAAAACTAAAATACGGGATTCTATCTCAGTAACCATTGGCAACGCAGATGGATTACTCGTTAAAAAAGAACAAACTCTCTTATCCATTTTGCAGAATCTTTCCTTTCCCAAACGAGTTAAAGTGGCAGAGTTCTCGTTCTTTTCTTCCAAGGGTTGGGACTGGCGCTCACGTTCACTCATTACCCTACCTTTACGCTTCAGAGAAAGTGTCATAAGAAACTTTTCCTCCTCTTCCTCCGTAACATTTCTTAAAGGTTCAAAGGCAGCCAATTTTTCACGACTAGTCACAATTTCACCAAAGGCACTTTTCCAAGACATACGAAAGTCTTCTATGGAAAGTCCACGAGAGCTGCATTCTTCGCCTATTTGAGAATAGGGGTAACGGCTTTCTAATAACGAAGCTAGATACGCTTCATTGACTATTCTACGTAGTCTTCTAAACCCTACTGAGCGATATAAATGGGTAGAAGCAACTTCCATCAACAAACAGAATCTCCACAAAGCATCCAAATGTGAACGGAATCTTTTTGTTCAAGAACGAATGCAGTTTGGGCATTCAAAAGTTCATAATATTGAAGAGACTTTGCAAGTTACCTTATCGACATTATAGAAATTACAGATGATTCGAGTTTCTTTCCAAAACTAAATGTGCAAGACTGTTGTAGACTATGCAATATAAGGCTGTTGCTAAACTCTGACCCCCAAAAAACAAAATATCTTTACTTCATTCCATCCAACATAAAAACTGCCCAATATTGGTATACAGATTCCCAGGCCTTTAAAGTTTTTTCATCAAATTCATCGCCAAGAAACTGCTTCAAAACTTTCAAAAGTGTTTCTCCAACGCAGGGAAAGTGTTCTTCTTTCACACCGTATTTGATATGACGCTTACCCAAACTACTCAGTGCAGATTCAAGCTTATCAATATCATTGAGTAACTTGACTCCTTTGTTGATCATGTGTATTAGAAGTCTCTTTTGTTTCTCCATATCCGACCGAAAAAGTGGCTTTACAGAAGGATAAGTTTCAAACAGAGAATGATAAAAGGCTTCTCCAATCAGATACTGTCTATCTTCCAGTTTATTCCATGATTGTTGTACAATTTGTATTTCCTCAAAGTTTAGAGTCTGTCGAACCATAACTAGTTGAACAACATATTTTTCTGGTCCACTCTAACTATTTAAAACCAACAACATTTCTACGTAGAAAGGGTTCACAAGTTTCGTTTGTGGTCGTCAAAGGCCGTTGGCAATTAGAACTTGTGTAACACTTTACACATTCATTTTGGATTAAGGAAGTGATGGATGGATGATGTGTTTAAAAGCTTCAACAACAACCAACATATCGTTTGTTTTCTGTTTTTTAATTCATAGAGAATGGCTCATCTTTTCTGGCTCAAGAATTTATCAAGTAACTCTGTAAACTCTTTTTTAGAGGAGACTTCTTCTCAACTATCCTATTTCTTATTCATCCAGTTGTGGTTTAATTTTCATAAATTGCTATTTCCGTTGCATTTTCCGATAAACATGTTGTTTCATATCCAATCATGTAAGTACTACAACATGTTTCGAGAAGTAAGGACAATTTTGTATTTGGAGTGGTGATGGACCTTCCTGTTGTAAAGGACAAACTGAAACAGGTTTATTATTTTATAGATTCACTTCTTTCCAAACGAGACTATCCACTCGTAAAAATTCTGCTTGGTTTTCTCGAGTCTCTACACCTTCGTTCGTCTGTAATCAACTTTTATGATCCCAAGTTGGCTCGCGCTTTGATATACATTACTTTGGCTCCAATAATATGGAACGTACTTGCTAGATTAGAATACTTCTTTCATATCATAAGTTTTCTGTTTTTCGGTAAAAGAACTGGTTGCTATGCGTTGGCTTTGTGGATCCTGCTCTTTAGTTTATACAGAGACTTTTTGGTGATGGAGGCTATCCAAGTACAACCCACCCTCAGATACCTTGAACAGACTCACTTGTTGGTACAGTACACAATGTTTCTACTTTAGATTGTATTTATTCAACAGTTTCTCAAGGCTTTGGCATATGTTTTGGGTGCCTTGGGTGGCGTTTTGGTGATTACTTCGTTTTTAAGACTTGGTATTACTGGAACGTTTTTGGGGGATTACTTTGGTATTTACGTAAGTTTTCACTTCAACCTTAGCACTGTGTGTTCACTGAGGAATGAAAGCTTGAGGAAAAAGTTTCGGGCTTTCCCTTTTCGTTTTGTTCAAATCCGATGTATGACGGTTCCACACTGCTCTTTATTAGTAAAGCTTTACTGTAAGTATATGAAATTGGTCTCTTAGGAATCAAGTAGTGATATGGCAGCCTAAAAAGAGCTTCAAGTCCAGCTGGTTTGTTATTGGCATTTTGGGTATATGTAATGTATCGGATTGCTTGTGCCTTTGAAGAGTAAGTGTTCTTTCAACCAAGTAGAGTTTTGGATAATTTGCTTCGTATAGACCCTTTACGAACTACATTTATCGTTATCGTGCTACAAGCCAAAACAAAAAGGGAAAATGAGTGGTTTGTTATTCATCTCTTTTGAAATCTCGTGCTGCCATCAGTTGTGCAAGACTTGCGTAGTTGCTACTGAGACTGAATAAACATAGTAGATTAGTAAGAGATAACTTGTCAGTGGGCCACATGATGTGGCTAGTATTGTAACAAAGAGTATCGTTGAACATCCCTATTGAATGATAAGTTTCCATTTTAGAATTTCCCTCGTGTTATTGCGGGGGACATGGAGAAGCTTATATATTTATCTTCTTATATCATTTGATTTGTTTTACTCTATTTCATAGAATCCTCCGAAACAGGAATTTCTCAAATGTGCTTTGAACAGCCTCGAGTTTGTTGTCTTTCATATTTCTCTCTCGAATGTAACACATTTTGGAAAAAAAATTGTTCGAAAGATTGATTTGGTTTGTCAAGATCATGTTGCGTTTTACTGTAAGTTGTTGTTTAGTTATTTGTATGCGTCTGAAAACTTTTTGTTACCGCTGCAGCGTTTTTTCAGAGCGTCCTTTTCTTTAGCTTCTAAAAACACTGTTTTTGTGAAGAAAGATGAATGGAAGCAAACGGTTAGGCTGTCATATATGAAGCAACGTGAGAGTAGTTTTTCGACTCTTATTCCAATGGTGTTGGAGCAGACTCCTCGAGGTGAAAGGGTTTTCGATATTTACTCGCGACTTTTGAAAGAGAGGATCATATGTCTGAATGGTACAATAACGGACGATGTGGCGTCACTCACTGTGGCGCAGTTGTTATTCTTGGAAGCAGAAAATCCTGAGAAGAAGGTTTATATGTATATAAACTCACCTGGAGGTTCGGTGACTGCAGGTTTAGCTGTTTATGACACTATGCAATATATCTCTCCTCCAGTTTCTACCATCTGTTTGGGTCAAGCTTGCTCCATGGCTTCTTTATTACTTGCTGCAGGAGAAAAGGGAGAGAGAAGATCTCTTCCCAACTCACGAATCATGATTCATCAACCTTCGGGAGGTATTTAGATTTGTTTTTATATATTGAATATGTGCCCTAAGTAGAGAGTGAAAAGGTGCAACGGGTCCTGCAAGTGATATATCTATTCATGCAAACGAAATACTTTATTTACGCAAGCGGCTAAATGAGTTGTATGCTTATCACACGGGTCAAGACATTGCTACTATAGAAACCAAGATGGAAAGGTGAGAGTTGCTGTTTTTGTGCATTGTTCAAAACAGGTTGACAAGTTATTATAGAGACCATTTTATGTCAGCTGATGATGCTTTAAAGTTTGGAATTTTAGATGAGGTAATTGTACGGAGAGATCAAGAGACTTTGCGTGTTCGGCCTTCCAGTAGATATATTTGAAGTGTTCATATATGTATGTTGGAATAAACAGTTCTTTTTGGATGAAACCCTAAGAGAAGGAAAATTTTGAATTTGAATTGGGAGATGAATCAATTTCATATGACTTCTCCACCACTAAAGACGTGTCATAAGAAGAGATTGAGCTTTGAAGTGTTAACCGAAACTTCTTCAACTGATAACAAAACGGAAAGAATTTCAAAAAGTGCACCTGGTCACCTGTTCGGGAAAAGAAACAAGGCTAGGAATGTGTTCTATTACAAAGACGCCAATAGAACAGAACGAGAACTGCAACATGTTACTCCAGTGAAAAGGCTCAACTTTAAATATTTTTCTGATAATCAAACAAGTGAGGAAACTTTAGCAGTAACCACTTTTGAGAATAGTCATCAAGTTGGTTATGAAAGGAAAAGGAAAGCCAAAAAGCCTGTTAAGCCAGGTTCGATAGAAAGACTGGACGAGTTGCTACTTCAAGTTAACTCTGATAGCCAACTATATCGCAACTATGAAAGTAATCCTTCAGCTATTTTTACCCATTTAGCAAGACATATAAGAATGTCTTCTGAGACGTTTCTAGTTAATCATTTGGTGTATACATATCCTACCTATACACTCCTAAACTGCCGCTCTGTTCTTGAAGATTGTCAACACGATGCAGACAATTTAGTTCTCATTTTTCTACCTTCCGAAGTGTATCGTTCTATTTCTCCATGTTTCCGATTATTATGGCCTTATTTTGAAACCAAAAATGTGTTACAAACCATGCAAACCTGTCGACGAATCATTGTTGCAGCGCATATGATTCCAGTACGAGTGTAATATTATTCTTCAGGCTTCTTTTGACAAATGAATGCTTATTCTATGCAGCTTTTATTTTCTCTACGGTACTTTAAATAGTATTCTTGAACAATTGCGTATATATATATATGTGGAAAGAAAATAGCACCAATGCTCTTCTATTTATTTCCATTTCATAAATTCTACTCCAGAACCAGCCAAAGCAAGCCAATCATTGGCAACTGAAATACAAGAAATATCCGATACATTGGAAACCACTGTCTTGCAGGGTTGAAGAAATATATTGGACTGCCCATTATCAGAAGATGTCTTTATCTCCCATATTATCAACTTGTGATCGGCACCACTACTGAAAATTACTTTTCCATCAGTCCAAACTGCTGTAACACTTGCACTATGGCCACAGTTGGGAACTAAACTATGTAGCTTCACCAGGATTGGCCTTTCTTCGATAGATGTGGCATCAAGATGGAAAAGATGAGAATTCATCCGTTGATCTTCTCCACCAGTCACTACTAGAACATCGTTGTTTTCTAGTAAAGAAACATGTAAATCATGGATCGCCCCTTGATGTAAATCACTTATCACAATGCTATTCTTTGAAAATTCATTCACAACTTGAAACGGATTTTCCAAGTCCATTTCACCAAGTTGCCAAATCAACAATTGGCCAACGGTATTGCAAGCAAAGATAAGAATCTTTCTCCAGTCTGTTTGTAAGCATTCAGGTAATATCAAACTATCAGAACATAAAATAGAAAACTGCGATACATTGAAACGATATAATGAATGTATAGTCCATTTGTTACTTTCCTTGGGCTCTTCTAATAAACTGTTCAATGCAAAAGATCCATCTGAGCGCGTTACAAATATGAGCGAATGTAAAATGCCACATGGAAGAGTATTCCTACGGATCAACAAATGCTTCGGAAGTACTAACAAACTCGTAACTCTTTGAGTAGCTATGCTGGTAACCTTATTGACAAAGCGCATGCGTTGACTCTTATCCAACGTTCCAAAATACATGTCCTTCTTATGATAATAATGACAAGTACTTTGTGCAATATGTTGAGAATATCGGATATCGGAATTTACGGTGGCTTTTTTCCAAACAATAAGTTGATCCTTTCCACTACCTGTCCATAACCATTCTTCATCCACTGCACAGCATTGAACACCAGAGATATGACAGTCAAGTATTTGAAGAGAACACATTTCGTGAGTTTGGGTACAGAACACTGAATTTCTCACCATAGTATCTTCACCACAACTAAGAAGATTCAGAACTCCGTTCCATTCTCTCATCAGTATATGATTGATTCGCATGCCATGAAATCCGTTGGAAGGAGTTTTTACAATGGAGTGAATGTCCTCAAAACACTCATATCTTAAGACGAGTTGACCTCGGCGAGTAAAACAAATCATAAACTCGTTTGAACAAAGCCAAACATCATGCGCTCTTCTCCAACCACCACAATCAATGGAAATAACTTCTTTCTCCTGTATTATATCCCATATAGTAAGATATTTTGAATGAAACCCAACAAGAAATAATCCACGATTGGTAGAATCCTTTAAAAACTTGTCCACTGTGGCAACTTTATAAAAGCATTTCCTCTGGCATAACGCTTGCACTTGATAATCTTCTCTGTTCGTAAAGAGATTCCAGAAAAGCATTCCATCCACACTTCCCGATAAGAATATATTATCTGCTATCCACGATAGACAATGAATTCGATCGCTATGTAGTTGTAGCGAATGAATGGGCATCAATACAGGAGAATCAATGTCTTGCAATGGAATAAAAACAAATATTTTACCCTTTTTATCACCACAAACTACAGCAGATGTCTTTGAATGAAAACACATAGCAGTAAATAGTCCATCTTTACAAGGATGCTTCAAAATATATTGCAATTGGACCTTTTCCAAAACATCCTCTTCAACATTCCAAACTAAATGATACCAAAACATGCAGCCATCAGGTGTAACAATAAATATCTGCTCTCTCATGGAAAATTCCTGTTGTGATAACAACTCGTTGGAATTCTCCTCAAAACTTGAAAAGATATTCATTACAGCTCCTTTTCTGGTGGCTTGAAATGAGTTTCTTTTGAAACGAAGAACAAAATCCACTTTGGAGCGATGTTCCACATGTCGTTTGATATCAAGCAAACTGAATATCAGCACTTGACCACAATTCGTTCCAATCAATATGCCATGTTTTATAAAAGTCATAGAAATGGGTGCCAATATTTTATCTTCAACATGATGTAATAATGTCCAGGTTTGTTTCCATGCTTGTCCTTGTTTCCATACACCAACATGATATATCCGGTTATGGTCAGTATATATCATCAAACTCTCACGAGACAACCAACGTATGGATTTCACGCTTTCCTTTGAATAAGAAGAACCCTTTTTTATACCTGCTTGGCTCTTGTTCCATAAATTATATTTCAAACTAGTATTCGTAGTCACCTCAACACAAGGCAATTCAAATACTGTAGAATATCTATCTGTCTGTCTCCTAAGAATGTCTTCTAACCGATAGATTTGACAACTTGAATCTGCTGCACCTGTTGCTATGAAGCATGAGAAACGATGATCAATCCATGAACTTGTACAAAACACATTCATTCCATAATTATCTTCCAATCGAATTGAACACTTTTCATCTGAAATATTCCAGATTCTACAGATTCCATCTTCACAAGCAGCAATAATCCTATCATCTGGTAGAAATTCCAGATCCCAAATTCTACTCGTAGAATCCCACAATACTACCTGTTGCTGAAAATAAACACCTTCCATAGTAGACTTTTTCCATATTCGAATGCAACGGTCATCTGCGGTAGTAGCCAATCGGTTGCCCGTAGACTCCCAACGGATACGGAATACGGGCCCTCTATGACCTTTTAGTAGAAGACTTTTGCTTGTTTCTTCCGATAAATATAGTTTCGAGTCATTTAAAGGCTCTAAAAGTGACTTTTCAAATAGAAACAACTTGATATTTCCTGAATAGCAGCCACTTGCTAATGTTATTGTTTCAGTGGTTTTGTCGACATATATAGAAGCCGACCAAGTTATCTCCTCAAAAGGAAATTGTAGTCTTGTTGTAAACTGACAAGCCTGAGTGGTGCAGTTTACGGAAAACACTTCACAAGCGTGATGACTTTGAGCACAGAGAACGAGGAAACAAGAATTATCGTCGTTTTCAATAAAACACACATCGAACACCCAATCCGAACATCGAATAAGAGCAATTTGTTGCAACTCGGGCAGCATCAAACTCGTTAGATAGGAAACAGAAACCCATCTCTCCCCAAAGACTAGAACGACTCTTCGCTCAGAATTGTGACGAACGACAAAGTTGGAAACACCAAAAATTCTTCTTCCATCTGGCAAAACTTGTCGTCTATCAATTATTCGTTGGTGAGATATATTCAATAAAACCAAGTGGGAGCCTTGAGCATAACAAAGAAACTTGTCTGATAAGAAACAAATCGCCGTAATTGGGCCATGAAAATATGTTTCCATATATTGTAAAAAGTACACAAGTAGGAAATAGATTTCTGGAGAACCTTAAACGATAGTATACAGTTTCTTGCTTAGATTCAATAAAACAATACAATCCATCAAAATACAAATAACAACGGCTTTCCCTTTAAAATCATATAACATATCGTTTGGGAGATTCGCGTGTGGTGTAGCTCGAAATGGATCGTTCCCTGTTGCAAATAGCTGCCTTTGTTTCCAGTATTCAGTTGAAGAGTACTAGATGCAGTATTCATAGCAAACGTTGGAGACCACATAGTCTATCTGTATACACTCGTAAGTTGTATGTTGGACGATATGTTCAACAAGGAGTGAGAATTGTTGCCCAACAAACTATGGGAGACTCTTCAAAGAGTAGTGCAACTCTTCCTGGAGACCAGAAGGAACCTATTTTGGTCGATTCTAATATTTTAGAATTTTGTACAGTGGATCCTAATACCGGGGAGAAAAAGGAGATGACTTTAGGTGAAAAGGAACTACTGTTTATGGACGCCATTTCTTCTTATTATCGAGGTGAACCTATCTTGTCCAATAATGACTTTGACATATTACAAGAAGAACTTGCCTGGCAAGGTTCCAAGATGGTAAACAGTTTGTATTGTTTCTCAGGTTTTGACTTGTCTAATTTTTAACAACACAGGTTATGTTAAGCAGGGATGAGTTGCGTTTTCTTGAAGCATATCGAGCTTATTCTAATGGAACGCCTATTATGTCTGACCAGGAATTCGATGAGTTAAAGGCGAAACTAAGGAAATCAGGATCCTCTATTGCACTCCAGAAGGGTCCAAGATGCAGTATAGTGACGGAAACCTGCTATTGTAACTGCGTTCCGGATAGAACAAGAATGTTGTTCTTGTACTTCCCAGCTGCTGGGATTGCCGCACTCATATACGCTACTGTGACTTTCGAGTTTACTCCATTGCGACACATTACTCCTGTATTGAACCTGTTAATTGGAACTCCAGTCATAGCCGCAGCTGCCAAAATTGCAACAGAGTTATTCTTTCCAAGTCCCCTCATTTTAGTTGGTGAATGTCCTTCCTGTACTGCTCCCGTACGTGCCTATTTTGGTGATGCCTTTGGTATAAAAGGAAATAAGAGGGAGGCATTCACGCAATGTGAACGTTGTCGTGCCAACTTGAAATTTTCTGAAGAAAAGTCCCAGGTTGAACTTGTGAATGATACCAAAATGAATGCTAAAGTAAAAGGAGCCAGTGAGAAAAAGGAAGAGAACACTACAACAGATGTCAACGAATAGTTGCAAGAAATGAAGAAGCCAATGATTCTTCTATTCTTGTTTCTGGAATAAAGTTTCAATCATGTCTGATGATGTTTTTATAAGCAAAAATGTAAAAAGGATATAAGACGAACTTATTTGTATTTTCAATCTGACATTTCATAATACAGGAGCGAGTCTCAAGTAGACGGAATCAGTACGTCGGTATAATGAAAGTCCTCCGAAAGATAAAAATCGCACATGTCCAGAGCAACTTCACAACTCTCACGTACCACAATATTCTCATCCGATAAATACTATTAAAATATGATGACCAAATAAACATATACAAATATTAAAAATTATTTTTCCTACCTGACGCAAAAACTTAACCACCTCTTCCGTGGCCATGGAACCGAGGGCTTCTGCAGCTTCATGTCTAACCATATAATGTTCATCAGGATTAGAAACTATCCGCATTAAGCTTTCTGTTGCTTGGGCATTACTAAGTTGTCCAAGAACAAAAGCTATTTCGTGCTTCAGCAATGCGCTATCATCATTAAAACCTTTGCAAAGGTAGGAAACTGCATCTGGAGAAGCTCGTTCTCGAAGCTCAAACAAGCAACCGTATCTTTCGAAAAGCGTTAACGAAGGATCTAGAAACCTCTCACCTATCTCTATTGTGCTTTACAAAGCTTAGATAAAACATGGACCATATTTCTGTACAAGTTTTACCTCATCTGCGACAAAAGATTACTGGAAGGGACAGGATCTAAAGTTCCAACCGACGACAACTTATCATTTTCTTCGAGGTGTTGAGTTGACAATATTCTTTTAATGGCCAACTCACAAGTTTCTCTAACTTCTCTACTTGAATCGACGAGTGCCTTTTGAAGAATACCAACACTCGACTTCTTCCCGATGGCTCCAATTGCCTCTGCGGCTTCATGCCTCACCATGGGATCCTCACTCTCGTCAAGAAGACAACGATAAAGAACGTTTAAACCCTCTACTTCACGCATTTGTCCTAGTGCATATGCCGCCTCATGCCGTACCAAGCAGGATGGGTCCTGAAGAAGACAACGACTCAAAACTTCCACTGCCTTATGACCTCCTAATCCTTTGAATCCAAATATACTACGTATACGTACTGCGACATTATTATTCACATTCAAAAGTCTGAACTCTAGCTCTTCTAAGCTGGCCGAAATCATACTGTCCAATTCAATCACCTCCAAGTAGTGGCCTTCAACAAGTCTGAGACATGAAAAATTTTCACAATAGATGGTTGAAAACTTCTTTAGACCTTTAGCCGAAAATGCATCAATTCCTTTTACTTCCTACATTTCATAAGCGCATCAAATGGCATTAGCCTTATAACACCACTTTTTGAAAAGTATTAACTGAAGATGAGAAGGACATCCCATCCATCGTATCACACCATTTAGAAAGAAATTCACATCCCTTTTCATTTCGTCGATTTGAAGACTCATTGTGGAATTGAGAGCGAGAGGGGACGAGCTTAGCTTAAGAACAACTGTGTTTTTGTGCGGTTATTTATGAACTTTGACTCTATTCAAACAGGAATTAATGCACCTTTTGACCCGTTTGCAGACGCGTCACGTGGAGAGGACGCCGCAGTAACTAAAAATATAGTACATATTCGTTTGCAACAAAGAAACGGCCGCAAGTGCCTGACCACCATTCAAGGGTATGTGTGCTTCCAAAAAACCTGTCAGTTTCCTCAACTAAACTGTTTTATAGTCTCGATACTAAGTTGGATTTGAACAAAATTACAAAGGCCTTTAAGAAGGAGTTTTGTTGCAACGGTTGTGTTGTAGACGACACTGAACTTGGAAGAGTCATTCAACTGCAAGGAGACCAAAGGGATAAAGTCAAAAAGTTCCTCGTCCACGAAAAGTTAGCGGAGAAGGACCTTATCAAGGTGCACGGTATATGAGTGTTGTTTCGTGCTAAGAGACGTGGAAAGTTTTCTGTTGTTCTTTGCCGTTGTATGTAGTCGATAGTTAGTGACTATACATGTGTTTGCGATATTGTGATATGTTCTGCTTCGATAAAAGTTGTTTCAACTTGCCTGATTGGCTTGTGCTTTATACATTCACTCAAGGGTTCACTTTATAAGTCCTGGTATTGAGTAGATAACACGCTCTATCGACTTGTACGGAAATATCACGTCATAAGTTAAAACCAACAGTAATCACAACGCATTTACTCAGTCAGTGGTCTGTAACAATCGCTCATCTTCAAACTCATACTCAAACTCTCTTCGTCCACTTCTCTTTCTCGAAGTTGCTCGGCTTGAACCTCCGTGTTTAGAAACTTTGCGTGACCAACGCTTCTTCAATACATCCGTCGGGTCTTTTCCAACATTCACTTCTTCTTGAATACTATCGTCTTCATCAAACACGGCGTTGTAAGTACTTGAATGTAAATCTTCTATGTCTTTCAGAGACGTTTGTTGTTCGTCTAAAATTTCGCCTTCCGACGCTTCATATACCTCTTCTTCCCATTGTTCCTCCGACTCGTCATCGCTTTCATAATCTTCTTCAAACTCCATAGTCTCTACTTCCGGGACTTTGTCTTGTTCAAGCACAGTTTCATATTGAGCGAGTGGAAAGTTGTATATATCCTTATATTTGCCACTTCGTAAACGAGATAATAGTTCTTCTTCTATTCTCTTGTCTAGCTTTGACATGGAAAGCGCTTTTTTCTCTTTCTTTCTCTCACGTCTTTCGAGCTATCGACAAGTTAAACCACAACTGAAGTTGGACACTACAACTTACCTTGTTATTTACCGGCACAACTTTGCTTCTTAGCTTCAACTGCAGTCTTTTCTTCCTTATTAGGTACTGTTTGATTTTAGTTAAACGTTGCTTTGCCTTGTGCTTCAAATAGTGCGGCCAGAAATGGAGTTTCTCGTCTATTTGTTCAAGAGCTTTCTTGTAGTTGTTTGAAAGCTTAACTTTCTCCCATTGCGCGTTTGGCAGATGAGCTCTACAATAAAAAATACCTTTAGAGGTCTTTCAGTCGAATAACAACACAACGAAAATACCTTTCAATAGTCTTCAAATACAAAAAGCAGTCTCCTTCTGTCTCAATGATGGTTGCATAGCGACTATTTGCCAAAGGACAGTAACGTCGGGCACAGATTCCTGTGAGATTATATGGATTCTTGCAAAAGTTTCCTGTAGTTATCTTCACGCGAAAGGAACAAAAAGTTTTTCCAACTATAGACCAAATGACGTCGTCCGATTGCATGATCAAGAAATTTTTTCATAATGCTAACATTTTATTCGTCAACTGTGTTATCGGTAACGGGCTGTTCTGACGAGGTTTCAAGTTGTCCAGCTGTAGTCATATCTTTCTCAAGTAGAGGTGCGCAAAAAGCTGCTGATTCTGATTGCTTAGTATGCAAACTTTCCTCAAGCTTCCTGATATATCGTTGTTGCTCAGCACATAGTTGGTAATAGGTAGGTGGGCGGACAAAGAATTCAAACGTTATTCCTCCTTGTTCGTCGAGAAATCCTTGCAAAACGGTTTCTATTTTACAAAATCGGTTATAACCCCAGCATTCACCTTCTTCAAAGATGGACGTAAATACACGACATACTGATGAAGGTGGTGTGACAAGAGATTCTCCAGTACTGGAAGGCTTTACAAGCTCCACCTTGTAATCGTATTTAGCAGGTTCTATAGGACCACTTACAAGTTCAAGAAAAACGGATAGGAAGGTTCCTGTTTTCATATTATTCAATTCAACAAAAATGAAACTCATCATGATTCATACCCCTTGCATCACCATTACCGAGTGGATAAACCTTTAACCTCCAAACAAGACCATTCATTGTTAGTGGTTGAGAGAGAATAACTTCCGCAGACTTTGAATGTACGATATTGGCATAGTTCTCAATTTTTAGAATTCCCTTCATAAATGGAGGAACCACCTCTGAAACGACATCTGAGTCGTCCACCGTTGAAATAGAAAACTAGCAACCAAGTTACATTATTCCATGACTTACAAAGAAGTACTAACTTGTTCTACCGGGCGTCTATGAACTTCACTAAGAGCAGCAGCCAATTCTTCTGCTTTTGAAATTAGTATCGGTTTAGGTGTTCTGTTTAGTTGTCGCTCCACTTCTTGGTACATGGACTCCAAAAGATATATTTCCTCTTCCAAAGCATTCTGCATATAGAAACATCAAATAAGATGGACGCAAACCCTAAAACAGTTCATACCTTCTTATTAACAAGAGAAGTCATTTTGACACTGATCTGTTTGTCGATTCTAGTCTTGAATTGTTCAAACACATCGAATAGTTCTTCCATTCTTTGTTCCTTAACCGTAGTAGTTAAACAACCAGTATATAAGCTCGAGTATAAAATCGGCACTTACTCGAACACTATTCAGCTTCTGAATCTCACTTTCAAATTTGTCTACAATCTTTCGCAAGTTCTCCGCTCGACTTTTTAGTCCATCACTCTCTGTCCGAATTCGTTCGGCACGCTTTGAATAAACAGAGTCCACTAAACGGTTAAGTCAAACTAAAGATTTCTCCCTAAACGGGAAACATACACTTATCAAACTTGTGCAATCTGTGCTCTTCAGTGAACATTGCACATTCAGCACAGATACAGAGATTACAGGTGATATCAAAATATCTTCAAAGAATTAGCAAAAATAACAAAACAGATAACATCATACTTGAGCTCTAGCTCGTGCTTCTGGCAGATCATTTCGCGACGACTATCAACACCAGGGCGAAATTGAAAGCGTTCCAATTCTCCAGCAATCTTCAGAAATGTAAACGCAACTTGTCCTAATTTGCTGGGTACATAACACTTACTTCTTCTACAAACCGACAAGAAACTAGACGTTCGAAAGAAAGCAAACTTCTGCAATGTGGGCATTCGTTATGCTGGGCCAGCCAACGTCTAATGCAAGAGAGACAGCACATCTAAAAGACAGTTTAGCACAAAAAGATCACTTATATGGAAAATAAAGACCTTTCCACAGCAAGGACAAAGTCTGGGATTCTCTAATCTGCCAAAACATATAAAGCAACGAAATATTTCGTCCAAAACAGAGCTGGGATTCTCTGTTGACTGTCTTCGTTCTGTCTCCAAGTTACTTGGAAAACTCGCATATCTAACTACCGAAGGAACATTTGAAAGACCAAAACCGTCAGAAATTTCCTCAAGGTTGGCTAAAGTATTTTTAAACTCGAAAACAAAAAGAACTTGTGGGCCACCTACAACTTCGAGATTCGTTCCAGGATGAGTTCAATCTATTTAAATTCCCTCGTTGCCTCGACACTCTAGGCACCTGGCGCGTTGGGACGTCAATAAGTTCATCTTCTTCTTGGTTCCCTCCCTGTGTAGCGAGTCTCGTCACTTGTTCCTCAATAGAATTCAAAGAAAAGGCGCTTCTCGACATGCAAATTTCTCAAATAATTTTCGAATGCAGTGCGTCTCAACCCGCCTAATAAGAAACAGGAACCGGAGACTTGGTGTAACGCAAGTTCATGAAGCAGCAGTGAAAAAATTTCTTAAGAGAAAATTACTGCAAAGATGTAGGGAACGTGCTCAGGTTTCACGGAAGAATGTTGTGAACAGTAGAAGAACTGGGACACAGGAGACAAATATGGAAGCAGCCCCCGTACAGGTGATGGAAGAAGAAACCCTCCTAGAAGGTACAATATCAGAGACAAATTTCCTTGATAGTTTAACAGAAAAAGAATACGAAGAGTGGATGGTAGAGCTAGAAAGACTGCTACAAGAGGACCTAGCTGCTGAACAACAGGAACAAGATCAAGTAGTTGTCGAGAATAAAGCGTTGGAAGAGTTGGAGTACGAAAGACAGTTGTTAGAAAAATATGAAATATTTATTGAGAGATGAAGCCTCCGAAAAAATGGGAACATAGTTTGTGTTGAAGGATGTTTTAAGTTTAATTCTAAGATTGACCGCTGTGTTTTTTGAAGACGACGGCTTGGAAAATTATGTCGTTTGAACAGGTTTGATTGTGAAGGAGTTGAGTTCTTGTAGACAGAACCAGCCGCCGTAAAAGTTTTTGAAGTTTAGATTGTTCAATTTTTAATGAGGAAACTGACCCTTTACACAATGAGACAACTAGCTTAAGAAATTTGTAAACGCCTTTTGCTGATATTTGTTTTAAATTATAATAGACCGATAAAGTTCGTAGCAGGTACAACTTGAGTATTTTAGAAATTCTATACTCCGGTTTGGAGTTTAGAAGGGCTATGATCCACTTGCTTGACGTTTGATTTTCTTAGTTGTAGGACTACCAACTTAAATTAGCGACCTGCACAATTGCACAAGCAACGTAATTTCTATATTAATCGATGCATTAAAGAATTCCAGTAACGCTTCATTTAGAAACCACGCAATGCAATTTTATTTTAATAATGAATTTTCCGAAGCAACACACAAATGTCTCGAACCATCAAACAAAGCAAGGACAATATCAATGATTGAAGGAACATTTACTTTGAAAGAGCCCAAACTCTGCTAAAGCGGAACGATTTCAAATCATCCCAAGTCTCCTTCAACTTCTGAATATTTTCTGCCATCAAATCACTCAACGGCTGTTCAAAGACCTGATCCAACTCTTCCAGCGTCTTATCCTTCGTCTCTGGCATAAATAACATTAGATAAAAAGTACCAATAAGCACAATGCCTGCATAGAATCCGCAGAAAGTGCCTTCATTAGTCATTGCAGCTGTCATATGCGGAAATGCATAGGTTGTAATAAAGTCACCAGTCCAGTTGGTAATATCTGTCAAAAACAATCCTTGACTTCTCAAATATGTTGGCCAAACCTCAGAACCGACAACCCAAGGAGTTGGACCCAGACATGAGCCCCAGAATAAGTAGTATATCACAACGCCCCATATGTATATACCCTCCTTGGTATGAGTACTTGATGACAAGAATGAGAACCCTATGATAAGTAGACCAATGAAAACTCCAGAAATAAGACTTAATAATAGAGTTCTTCTACCCAACCGATCCATCAAATATATTGCAGGAATGGTGGATAAAAACCCTGTGCCTCCTCCAATCATGCTGGTATACACAGCTTGTTGTTTGGTGAGCCCGGTCTCATGCATCAGCGTTCCCATATAATAATTTACTGAATTAATTCCTGAAAACTGTTGAATAATCATTAGGATTATTGCATATTGTGCGGCATGTCGGCAACGAGGCTTATTAATAAAGTCCAACCAGATAAAACGGCCCTTCGCTGATTCTATTTCTTCCAATACATGCTGTTCCATTTGAAAGAATTCTTCTTTCTCTTCGAAAGTGGAGAAGCCTCTAACTCTTTTCCATATCACATATGAGTCTAGCTTCTTTCCAACCTTCATCAAATAACGGGGGCTTTCAGGTAGAAATAGCATAGCAATAAGAAAAATGGTAGAAAACAGTAATGAGGAACCTAACATCCAACGCCAATTTCCAGAAACGTCTACAAAGATGGCAGCATCAATATAACCAAACAGCAACCCTAACATAATCATGACTTGATAAAGAGATACGAGGCCCCCTCTCCAACGCTTTGTGCTGCATTCTGCAATATAACCAGGGACCGTTGCAGCCTCCAAAGCTACTCCAGCACCCAAGATCATTCTTCCTGCAAGAAGCATTCCCCAAGACTGAGCATCAGCCTCAAGAATACCTCCCACAGTATAAAGAAGACAAGCACCAATAATAGACCATTTTCTTCCAATTAGTTCATTTGTGGGATAAACCCTAGAGTAAAGAATGGTGAGTGCCATTGTAACCATGTAAGAATAACTTACATAATTGCACCAAAAATACCACCCAGAGGCATGAAACCGGAAATCATAGATTCTTTGTTTGAGCCATAGTTCAGATCAGTTGGTACATACAAGCCGGCTCCACTTATTAAGGACTGGTCAATACCATATAAGATACCTCCCATACTAGCAAACGACGCCAGAACCCATATGAAATATTTTGGGTTTCCAAACAAAGTGGAAGAAAATATTCGGCGCCCTCCCTTTGCGATACTTCCTTCTTCTAACTTCTCCAATTCGGCATCTATTTCTTGTTCCGTGTGTCCTGTTATTGCGTATCTCACACCTTTATCATCACCTCCTTCTTCATTTACTTCTGTACTAGGTTCTCTTATCACACTCAGTTCTTCCTCATTCTTGGACATTTTCCAAACTCAAATTGAAAATGTTGCATCACTAATGCTAATAAAAGATCATCCTGGAAACCGAGTTTCTAGAAGAATTATTGAGTGTTATCTTTTCGATCATTTGTCCCGTCGAATTTTGGACAGCAGGTGGGGCAGACTGCGGGCGCATGTCAAAATTCCACTAGCGTAACCTTTCTGGAAAATTTTTCTCTCGACAGAGGACAGCTATGGAAGGAGGTGGGTATTTGAATGGGTAAATGCATTTCTTTCAAAGGTTCGTTAGTAAAGAAATATGCTGTTTTGTTTCTCTCTCCATTTTCAACTGTTCCTCACAAGAAGAACGTACTTTAAAGGGTAGTTGATAAATTTAAGCGCTTGGTCCCATTGTCAGTTCATCATTGATGCCACGTCTTTGTTCCTCCCTTGTGGTGGGTTCTTGCCGTGAGTTTCTCGCTTCGACTTGAAATTGAGTTGTTTATATGCCGTTACCCGTAGGTGTTTTGTGCAGGAATAACTTGCGTGCTTCTTGGACAGGATTTTGCCAGTACTCCAGCCTGGTAGATACCAGTTGTTTGCCTAGGGAACTTTTAACTTTTGCTGTGGAGTTGAGACACCTTGAAAAACATCGTCGGAAGCTTACTGGTTCACCACGCGCTGCTGTGTTGGTTCCCTTTTGCCTTTATCAGGACCAGTTGTCCCTATTGTTTACGTGGCGTTCGTTGTTGGTTGGAAGCCATAAAGGCCAAGTGAGTTTTCCAGGTGGCAAACTGGATGTTTTAGATAGAGGTGATGCTATAAGAGCGTCACTCCGTGAAACACACGAAGAAATCGGAATATCACCGGGAACCGTTGTGACGCTAGTATGACTGGTTATTGCACTTGGAAATTGCATGTTTTAATCTTACATAGGGTTTATTTGATGACTATCGTTCAATCAACGGATACAACGTGACCCCAGTCATTGGTTTTTTGGGTCCAGTGGAGAGGCAGAAATTGAGAGTGAATGAAAGAGAAGTACAAGAAGTCTTCATGCTTTCTCTTGTTCATCTCTTGCAAGAGTCTAATATGCGAGTAGAACACACGTCAAGAGGTGATATGCCCATATACAATGGAGGACCAGTTGAGATATGGGGGTTGACAGCCTTTATTTTGCGTGATATTCTCAAAATATTTCCAAAATGAGAAATGATTGTATTGTAAATGATTTATGCTTTATGCACATTACAAATGAACTTGTAGAAACATCTCGTAATACAGACAATATTCGATTGCTTTTCGTTCAACAAATAACATAAGAACGAATATACGAGAATGACAAGGGAAATGAAATTCTCAAGCAGCACAAAGAAGAAAGAAACCCGTCAAGACGAGCAGCTGTTTACACAAACTCCTACAACATTTGCCCATTCTGGAGGTTCTTCTGAATAAATGCTAAGTTCTGGTCTTTCTTCATACGGGTTAGAAATGACTTGTAAAAGATTCTCCACTTCATCAAAGTTTCCTGTTTCTGCCAGT